TCAATTGTCTCAATCTAAACTCTTTTAACCTATCTAAGTGAACATCTTTATTGCCTCTAGCCGTAAGAAGTCTCCGCAAGTGTTCGCATAGCATGTGACTTGTAGATTCATGTCATTTCGACTGTTGCCAATACCAATCGCCAATGGCTGGAGTAGTAAATGATTATACATATACTCGTATGCCATGTTTGGGCGAGTATATAAGTTATGGCAATATTTATTAGGCGTGAGCTTCTGGAATTGCGCATTCACTCTAAGCTTGTCTTCAAATGTCTATTATTTGGTTATTAACATATTAAAATGTGTTGGAATTTCAATCAAATACATTTCTAAGCAAATTTATTGTAGCAACCTCTTGGACTCATGAGTGAGTTGAGTATATAATTTGTGGTGAAATCGAAAACAAACACTCCCATTGACGTGTGCTTGGTTTCTGTCATACTATAATTATTTAAACCAAGAGACGAATGAAGACGGTAAGAACCTGAAGCAACATGCTCTTCATGCACCTCTATGGGTTCCAGATTTGGCATTAACATTTTGCTCAATCAATAGTTATGAAGAAACAAAAAAATGTCGAATTAAATTAAATCATGCCCCTGCAACCCCTGGAACCCCTGCAACCCCTGGAACCCCTGCAAAAGCTAATACGGCTATGTGACTGAATAACACCGGTTGCTCTGAGGGAATTGGGAAGAAGCTGTCGTTGCCGTTCAGCACCATACGGCACTAATGCTGAAGTGGAAAACATAGAGAGTGCATACAATCTGTTACCGCCATTTTTTTCCAGTGTCTGAGAAATGGTTACTTAGAGCAAGGCATTCGTGGATTAATACTAATTTCGATAATTTTGGACTTTTTTTTAAGGACAAGGTTTCAGCTGGCATTGATTTGGAAGGCACTACTGTGATGATAAAATGTACCTAACTCTCTGTCTGTTTGCAACACGGGCTGGTGGAAATCTCTCCGGGATTATAAATAAACATTGTAGTATGGCATTAAAGTAAGAGTATCTTCCCGTCTCCAATTCTGGCAAATATTATTAACTTTTTGCATTGCTAACTATAATTAGTAGCATTTTAGTTAGACGGTTCACTAACGGCGACCAGCAGATGGCGCAAATTTGAAGCTTTTTAAAGCTTTTAGAGGGATTACTTTCAACGAAAGACAAAAACGCTTGATTCGTTTTCCAACTGTAGATATTATTGCTTGACCAAAGAGAAGAGCCAAAGTTTAGGAACAGGTACGAATTTTCGCTCAGTTTTCTAAGAGCATAAGAGAGAAAGATGAACTTCAAAGCCCATGCAATTGAAATAATAAGCACGGATATTACGAGCATATGTGGCAACACTGATTTTAGTATCATCTTTTTTTTTTTTTGTTTATTTTCAGCTTCTCTGCAGTCGCTTGTTTTTAAGCTAATTAACATAACAATACTAATTGATATTTCCACCTATTTTGCTGTTTTTCTTGTGGGCGTGAGGGAAATCAATGCAAAACCAGTCATGAAGTAAACATAAATACATATTTGCATGCCACATGCCACATGCCACACACTGAAAACAAGCAGACATTGGTTTGGTCTATGCATTATAAAATTAAAAGACATAAATTACTTAGTTAATGAATACGGATAAATGACTAGCAAAGTCAATGCTAATAAATACGGAAATAATAAAAAAAATCACAAGGAAATTGTAAGGAAAATCAAAGAGAATCGAAGAAAAAATACTGGCGGTTTCTTTAAGTAGAAAGTTAAAATAAATAAATAAAAAATATATAAATAAAATTAAAAAAAAAACTCACTGAAATTGTGAGTAAAAGCGTGAAAAAAGTACTGGGATTCTATTAAAAAATAATAATAAAACTGAAGAACAAAAAATACTCACGGATATTGCGACTCAAATCGAAGAAAAACACTGGGATTTCCTTATATAACAAGATAATAATAAAAAAAACAAATTTTTTTTTAAAATTCTGGGAGTTTCTTCAATAAAAAAGATAATAATAAAATAAACAAAACAACAAGATGGTGGGAAAATACTGAGAATTTCTTAAAAAAGAGACCCAAAACGTAAATAACAAACTTTTATAAAAAAAATATATAAAATTAAAAATAAAAAAATTATAAGAACAATAATAACTCCCAATTTGTTTACTGAATCAAAGCTCTTCGAAAAATAAAAGTAAATCAAAAACAAAACCTGACGGAATTGTAGACGAAATCGGAGAAAAAACTGGGAATTTCTTCGAAAATTTTTCAAATAATTAAATTAATAAAAGAACAAAAAAGTCTATACTCTTTGCGATAAAACACAAACAAAATTTATTAAAAAGTTATCAGGAATCGCGAGGAAAGTCGAAAAAAATACTGGATAAAAAAAAATTAAAAATTAAATAAAAATTAATATTAAAATTAAAAATAAAATTAAAATTAAAATTAAAATTAAAATTAAAATTAAAATTAAAATTAAAATTAAAATTAAAATTAAAATTAAAAAAAAAAATTAAAATTTAAATTAAAATTAAAATTTAAATTTAAATTAAAATTAAAATAAAGCTAAAATCAAAACTGAAATTAAAATTACAATTTAAAAGTAGAAATGAAATTAAAATTAAAATTAATATTAACATTAAAATTATAATTAAGATTAAAAATATAATTAAAATTAAAACGATTATGAAAACTAAAATTAAGTAAAAATAAAAATAAAAATAAATATACAAATTGAAATAAAAATAAATAAAAAATAAGTTTTTCTTACCGAAGCAAAGCCAAGAGCTTAAAGCTCATTGATCATGTCGACCATGAAAGGACTAATTAAGCTCTTTTCCCCAAGAAACCTCTAACGATCAAGTAAAAGATTAGTACAACTTTAAAAGCGATCAACAGGGAAGCGCTTTGCTTATATTTCTTTTTCATGACAGTTTTTGTTACATTTTTCCTACTGGACATCTTCGGTACTATAACCTCATTTGTACTTAGCATAGTTGGCAATTTTCAAAATGTAACAAAAACAATTACTCACATACTTACATACGCGTATTAGAACAACACTGTGCCAAACCTAAGACAACGTTATATAAATAAAAAAAAGTCAGCTCGAGCGGCAGTCAAGCTTGACCCATGAAAATTTGCAGAGATTTGCATTTCAACATTTGTTGGCAGCGAGTGATTACAAAATTGATAGAACAATGAATGTGTAAAGTGAAGACAGAGGTAGATATACAAACCAGAGAAACAAAAGAAAAAGCTTAAGAAAAGAAATAACATATAAAAGCAGGCAAAAATAGAAAATAAAAAAAAAAATAAAAAAAAAAATAAAAATATATAAATAAAAATTAATTTAAAAACCAAAGCAACGAACAAGGAAATAAAAAATAAAAATAATAATAATAATAAAAATAAAGAATAAAGAGTAAAAGAAATGTATTTAGATAATTTTTTTTGAATAGCGTAAAATTAACAACTCATCGACAATTTTAGTTTTAGATCGCGACGCGAGCCAAGCAGCTATGTATGTACATATGTATTGCAATTTAGCAGCTCAATCATTAGTAATGGGTGAAAGAAGTTTGAAAAAAGACGGCTCGTAGCGACTGCTTGGTATTGGTGTCGATTTTAATGGTTTTTACTGAAAAAAAGGCGGTCAAAGTACTTAAGTTTTGAGCGAAGTAAAAACTATAAACTGAAACTAAAATTTATTTATTTTATCTAGAGGGAAATGGTATTATAAATTGCCAATTAATTCGACGCAATTTTGGAAATTTCAATTAATTTCAAAAATAAATAATTAAATTATAAGCCAACCGCTGCTTGCCAGAGAAGAAGCCGGTAATTATTGCGAATTACTGGTATTTTTATGGTGTAGATAAGATGATTCATACAAACTGCACAGCAAAACATGAACAGATATTCGCTTACTGAGTTGTAGACATAATTACGGAGCACTCACTTGCTCGAGGTCCGCTTTTCTGGTATGGAAATTACGTCGTTAATAGTGTTATGAAACAGAACGAGAAAGGTTTGGTACATCAGCGAAGGAAGCCCACTAAGTTGCTCTTAGTTTTAAGCCTCACTCTTACTCTTTGATACACTCTTTGATACTCTTTTTTCCGTATTCCATTAACTTTGATAAAAGTCCAGAATACGCTCAAACCCACTTGGAAGGAGCTCTTTTGTTTTGAACAGGTGATCCTTTAGTCAAACGTTCAGCGCATAGCTGATCTTTTGGAGGTTAGAGACAGTTACAAATATCTATGAACTCACCTTAACGCAGAATCTATCTTGCGAGCCGGTGATACTTTGAACAGAGAGGACAATTGATAAGATAAGTCGCCACGCAAAGAAAAAAGACCAAACTTCGGCCTGTTATATGATGTCGAAGCGTGGCCGATTATACCAACCGAGTTGCCATGAGAAGTTTAGGATAAAAACATTTTGCCAAAGATCTATAAGTCTTAGTAACCACAAATACTATATGCCATGGAGCGACCTTACCTACTCTAAACGGGCTGCCAGTCCAAGTTGAGAATATCTTGTAAGTTTAAAGTTAAAAAGATAAAATAAAACACCACTGGACATGGAACCTGGAAATGGTTATTTTTACGATCTAAGGAGTCATCTAACAGAAAGACCAGGAAACGAGCTGTTTGGATGACTTCGGGCAGAGGGAGAGGGGGTTTGTGGCATGCAGGGATTTGTTACATACAGAACATATGTTAAGCATGTCATAGTCAAGACTGGATAAGTAGGAGTTAACTATCTTAATTTTACCAGTAAAACGTTCAGAATTTCATAGTCTTAAACCAGGAATTGCACATATACAAAATATTTTCTTTACAAAAATTTAATGTCTATTATTTACTATTGTTTATATTTACTAAAGCCTCATCTTATATTGACATACATACATACATACATACACATTTATTTCTTCATAGCTCTCTTCTTTTCGCTTTTTTTTTCTAGGTAATTTTGTACCCATGTGTCCTCAATAATGGGCAACTCACTGACGCACGCCGTTAACCGCGGCTCGACGGCCTTCAGTAACCATAGCAACAACAATAACATAAAGTCGCGCGCCTCTACAACACCCAGAAATCAAAAGTCACGCTATCACTCGACACTCGTTGATGGTGACTATGACGACGACTATGCCCCACCACACAAATCGAAAACATTGCCAGCGCGCCATAGTCGCCGACGCCACGAACACAATACGACAACTAATGACATTCACGGTCATGGACGCAGTAAAACGCCGCCACCGTCAGCGCCGCCGAATGGCGAAACATCGCGTATGCTCTTTCTACTCTATCTGATACATCGCACCTGGAATGTGGTGGTGGAGACGGTGGATACGCGTAGCAAGCGGTGAGTTCGTTGTGCATTGAGTTGTACTTTCATTTTACTTTTCACTTATGTACAGATCGCGACGCAGCGCACCTGCCTCGGAACGTCGTAATAAGACGCGCTCAAACTCTCTGCATTTGTACACGGAACGTGAGCTCAGCTGTTCGAATAGTGATGGCGATTGTTCCATACACATCACCGATTTGGATGAGCCAGAGGTGGCCTCCTCTTTTTGCTGCTCACAATATTCCTACTGCAGCTGCAGTTATTGCTTCGATGCTAATCAAAATGTTTACAATTCCATTGGTGAGGGAGAGGATTGCTCATTGGATTCGATTTGCGAGCGTACTTTTTCAAAGTGTGGCAGGTGAGTGCAGTCATTTGTGGCAAGAGGTTATGGATTTTTATGATAGCGGTTTGGTGATCGTATTGGGCAGCCAGCGCCCGCCACACTTTGTGTTTCGCCTTAATAACATCTATATTATTAAGCTTTATGTAGTGGCGTTCAAACCACAGTATCTGCGTCTTCACTGATCTTGTGCTTTGGGTGTGTGTCTTAGCTATAAGCTGAGACATATACCGGGTAAAAATATCTATCCTGTTGGTATGCTACAGTTTTGAAAATAAATCGTTTCGCTACATAATTAAAATAAATCATATTTAGTATTCTAATTTTTAATTTTAATATATTCTTAATTTTTAATTACTTTAATTCGAAATTCACCCATTATGGGTTATAAATAACTAGTAGCTTTTCTTAAACTATATTACTGATGATTAATTTAGTCAGTATTGTAAATAATGTGAATATATCTCGGCTGATAAATAAACGCACTAAAGCGCCCTCGAAGACGCTGAAATAGTTCCGCTAAATTTAAAGATCCTGGAAGTCTCGAGTAAATATTAGCTATTGAATTTTGGGGTGTCCCATGTGCTGGGTTGGAGTATGCGGAGGAAATTGCTGCAGGTGCCCCAAGCTGAGTGGGTGTTGTGTATGAGGAAGAAGCTGTTGCATATGATGACGACGGTGCATTAGCTGGTGCTGTGGATGCGGAGCAGGTACATGCGATCGGCACCTGCACTTGATATGAGGAGGAAGCTGGTATTCTTTCTGGATGTGCAATCGCATAAGGTAAAGGAGCTGGTGCCACATAACTTTGGCTCTGTTCTGAAATAGTAATTGAAGGTGATGCTTTGTAAGGGCCTGCCTCCTGTGGTTGTGTCTCGCAAGGAGTTGGAGGTGACGCAGCATTATAAAGTGCAGGACTAGGAGCTGTGGGCACATAAGCCGGGATTTTTTCAGTAGCAGTATATGGTAGAGAAGTTGGAGGTCCATAAGTTGCCGCAGCTGATGGCTGTACGTTATAAGTTGCGGGAGCCGGCACTGCATACGGACTAGTATAAGGTGCAGGAGCGGGTGCTGGCGCTGGTGGTGAATTTGAACATGGAGCTGGTGCTTGGACTTCATAAGGAACTGGAGTTGATACAAGCTCTGCAGTAGCACAAGTTGCAGGAACTGGCGCCGTATTAATTGGGCTTTGATAGGGAGCAGGATAAGGTGCAGAAGCGGAAGATGGCTTCGAATCACTTGGATTTTGATCGGGGGCAGCATAAGTTGCCGGCGCTGGAGCTGGTGTTGAATAAGAGCATGCAGTAGGCGGCTGTACCTCATAGGGAGCTGGTGCAGTGTCTATAGCTGCATAAGTTGCAGGAGCTGCCGCTGCATAACTGGAGCCTTCAGCGGGAGCGACATATGTAGCACTTGTGTTTGCGGCTACTGGGCTCGCATAACTGGAACCTTCCGCGGAAATGGCATAAGTAGCAGACGTGGGAGATGGCGCTGATGGTGAATAAGAATATGAAGCCGGTACAGTATCCGGAGCAGCATAGGGTCCAGGAACGGTAGCTGGCGCTACATAACTTAGGCTTTGATCGGGAGTGACATATTGTGCTGGGGCGGATGCGGATGCTCGACCGGCATAACTGGAATCTTCAGCGGGTGCGGAACAAGGAGCAGATGTGGAAGTTGGTCCTGGTGCTGAATAAGAATATGAAGACGGTGCATGATTCGGAGCAGCATAAGGTTTGGGCGCGGCCACTGGCGCTACGTAACTTAAGCTTTGGTCTGGAGCGCCATGTGTTGCAGATAGAGCAGCGGGATCTGATGCTGAAGAAGAACATGGAGCCGAAGAAGCGTAAGCTACTGCTCCATCAGGATATTGAACTGGTGGTTGCACTTCATTAAGAGCGGGATCAGGTGTATAATCCAGGGCATTGTATGAATTATATGCCAATGCTTGGGCAGATTCTGTATAACTTTTACTCGGTTGCCCTTCGTAAGCTCTATCTGCTGTTGCAGTACCAGCAGACGGTGTAGCATAGCTGAGATGCTGATCTGAAGGTGAGTAAGCAACTGGAACAGGAACTGATGGTGAATACTCTCGATCAGCATATGAGGGAGAAAGTGCTGCCTTATCGGACATTTGGTAACGTTCAGATGTTGTAGAGGTATACGAATAAGATGGACGTGCCAGTGGTTTCGGTACCGGAGAAGGTAGGCAGTGACCCTCACCAACGATTTTCCAATCTACAAAGTTGTAGTGTAGTCGTGAAAATTCGTTTTTTAATGGAATATTTAATTAACACAAGGTTTCAACTTACGTCGCTTCGTTGCGCAAATGAGTTGATTTACAAGACAAGCATTCGGCACCGTCCTCGAAGGTCCGTCAGGCACTTGCTGTGCACAGACAGGCTTAAATAACGCTGGACAAATAATCTCATGACAATTCAACAAACAATTCTCGAGATCTGTTTTCACTGGTACTGTAAATAAATAAAGGAGCTTTTTGGTAATTTCTTGCTTTGCTTAATATTTGAGGTTATGTCAAGCACACTTACGGAGCTGGCCCAGAAACAGCTGCTTGTATATGTAAGCGTTCAATCTACATTCGTTTTCGAAGTACAGATAAGCTCGACCATTTGTGGCGCACACGGGTAAGCCACCTTCGGCACACAGCGGTGTATAAAGTCCACTGACGGCGGTAGCAAACATGCTCCCCAGAAGTATTACGAACCACATTGTCAAAAAAGATTCTTCGTGCGGTCTTACGTTGGTTGATGCGAGAAGTTGAAGTGCGCCTTCGAAATTATATTATTAAAATGTGGTAAAGCTCTCAGGCTCGCTTACTTTTTATACTTCACAGCAGTGTGGTCCAGTAGAAGTATGAAATTTTGTATTTATTTTGGGCCTCACCACCAACAACTCGCTTATCTTTTTATGTGCCTCGCTTCCAATGGACCAATCTAACTGTAGTTCCTCCGTTCGTGGGCTTTAGGTTTGGCAAAGTGCGCCGTCCGTCATTAGACCGAGTTTGCTGTTTATCTTCGAATGCGCGCGCTGAGCCGGTGTGCTTTGGCGTCACGTACGTGTCTTTCGCATGCCGGCGTTCGCTGACCGTTGTTTATATAAACATTCTACATGCTGAGGTCGGCGTTTGTTATGCAAGAAATGTAGAAAAAACGTGTGTACTCCGGCGCTGCATTACGCAATGGCAGCTCTTATCTGAATTCTTAAGCGAATGCGTCACTCGTTTGCTGCATTATGTAATACTTTAATTTTAATTTCTGGCCTAACCAGACTCTTTGTAATTATTCCTTGCCCACCCTGCTCAATGGCGCCCTCTAAAGGTTGACGGCTGAACGAGAAGTGCAATAAGCAAAGTAGTTACAAAACCGACTACTGTAGAAGTAGTATAGCAGAGTTCCTTTCTTCTCGTTTTATCCCTAGAAAACTAACTATTTGAAAGGTTTGAAAGCAGTCTTCCAGGTTGTAGGCTATCCTTGACATTGGTGGTGCGTTCAACTCATTTTCATTAGCCTCTATTTTTCTAAAAGTTTTAATAAGATTTTTAAATTTACGACACATAAAATGTATTGAATCAGGGAGATCATGAGTGCCTCGTTCGTTTTTTTTTTCTTTCCATGATTTTGACAAACCTACAAGCATTTGCCACGATCCAGTCATACTATAACAATGAGAGGCTCGACTTTCTGACTATGGTTTATGAGGTGAACACAGAAGGAATGTATTCCATTTATTTACAAATCTCAAAAGTCGCACTTACATTAACTCTTTGTTTCTACTGCCTGTTATATAACCATATCCAATCAACAAAGGGTTGGTCATCCCTATTAATTTTTGAGAGATTCATATATCCAAACAAGAGCAACCGCGACCTTCCTCGTTCAATTTCGGGCTCAGTACCTTCCGGTTGATAATTGGAATTAGATCATCGGACTATTGGATTTTCAATTTACCCTTCAAACACAACCCTCGGTCGAATGGCCGGCAGGTGTATAATGCTGGGCTCACACTTCAGTGGACCATAAATCGGATAGGGATGTTGGCCAAAAATTGTATCGTGACATGGGCAGCTTAATCTATCTACAAAACAAGTACGACTAGAGCACCTGTAACTGTTACTGGAGGATACAATGTTTGAGACAATATTTGAAGTGGCTGAAAGGTGTAAACCTGTGCAGTTAATGATTAAATCATGATTCATTCATTTGACTGCCGCGGCTCGCCTTGTAGTAGACCTTCCTGTTCTGTCTGTCGATTTAATTTTTCAAACTATTTTCGATTGGATGATCCCTCTATGGCAGCAATGACGACTTCAATTGTAGTATTTCAAGTCATGAATCGTTTCTGAATGCTTAGCGTAGCACTAAACCTCAGCGGTTCCCCACAAAGAATAGATCAACAGAGTCAATTCGCAGCTGCAAGATGATCAGCCGACATCGCCGTTTCGACTAATTTTGCTATTTTCAAACAAAGTACGCATGAGATGGATTCTATCTTTCGCTATGTGGCAAGTAGCCTCGTTTTGTTGAAACCACACATAGTCCTTGGCAAGCCCTTGCAAACAAATAACCTCTGAACGATCGATTTTGACGGTGACCGAAGTTTTTTCCTCTTTCTCAAAGAAAAACAGACCAGTGCTGCCCCCGGTCCATATGCCGCTTCAAGTGGTCACTAGTTGACGATGCATTGACTTTTCCACTGTTACGTATGGATTTAGTCTTCTCGGATCGATCTTGAGCCTAATTTTTAGAAATCGCATTTAGTTTTCTAGGATCTTCTGTTCTTACACCCATTTGACTTCATAAGTGTTCTGCTTAAGGTCTATATACAATATCCCGCACTTACGCTAATTGATTTTTCTGTTACTCAAAAACCAATAGGTAGGAGGCCCACCCTTGGGTTTGAGTCTGCGTAAACAAATATTTGCTGCGGCTGAGAACGTTCTTTTTATGTCTCTAAAATTATCCTTTGTATCTGTGTAAATAGATAAATTTGCGATCATCTAAAGCGTATTTCTAACAGTGGTTTCAAAACTGTAAATTGCAGAGATCACCCAAGACGCAAACCATATTATAAGAAAATAAAAGATTTTGTTGTGTTACTTTCGTATTTATATTTCTTTATTCGTCATTATCTTAAGAAAACATTTTAAATATTCGTAATTATTGATAGTATTTCACATCAATAGAGTAAGGTGGAAGAGCATAAGCTGCGGCAGCTGGTGCTGGTGCTGGTGCAGGATAAGGTGAAGGGGCCGGAGCAGGCGCTGGAGCTCCATATGAGATCAGAGCTGTCGAAGCTGGTGCTGTATAAAATGAGACAGATCCTGTGTAAGTGGCTGGAGAGGGAGCGGGGGCAGTATAAGTATGTGCTGGAGATGGTGCCGGTGCTGGTGCAGAGTATGATGCAGAAGAACAAGGAGGAGGTACTGGAATGGGTTCTGGAGCTGTGTATGCCTGAGATGCTTCGGCGTATGATGCTGGCGCTGGGGCAGGTTGTACATAAGTTGGGGCTGGTGCCGGCGCTGGTGCTCCATAAGCATCTGCAGCTGGAGCAGGATCTGCTGAATAAAGCCATGGCTCTGGTACATAGGAACCTGGAGCAGGTGCAGCATAAGCCGGAGCTGGTGCTGCATAGGAAGCTGATGCGGGTGCTGCATAGTTAGCTGGAGTCGGAGCAGGTGCTGCATAGTTGGCCGGAGCAGGTGCAGGTGCTGCATAGTTGCTTGGAGCAGGAGCAGGTGTGGCATAAGTAGCTGGCGCAGGCGCAGGCGCTACATAGTTGGCTGGAGCAGGTGCAGGTGCTGCATAGTTGCTTGGAGCAGGAGCAGGTGTGGCAAAAGTAGCTGGATCAGGTGCAGGTGCAGCACAAGTCGGAGCCGGAGCCGGAGCTGGTTGCGCATAAGAAGCTGGAGCAGGTACTACATAGTTAGCTGTAGAAGAAGCGGGTGAGGCTGCGCCATAAGCGGATGGAGTGGGAGCAGGTGCTGCATAGTTGGCTGGAGCAGGAGATGGTGCTGCATAGTTGCTTGGTGCCGGAGCAGGTGCGGCATAAGTAGCTGGCGCGGGTGCTGGTGCTACATAGTTGGCTGGAGTAGGAGCAGGTGCTGCATAAGTAGCTGGCGCAGGTGCAGGTGCTGCATAGTTGGCTGGAGCAGGTGCAGGTGATGTATATGAAGCTGGAGCTGGTTGTGCGTAGGAAGCTGGAGCAGGTTGTGCATAGGAAGTTGGAGCAGGTGCAGGTGCAGATCGGGCACAAGTCGGAGCCGGAGCCGGAGCTGGTTGCGCATAAGAAGATGGAGCAGGTACTGCATAGTTGGCTGGAGCAGGTGCTGGTGCTGCATAGTTGCTTGGAGTAGGAGCAGGTGCGGCATAAGTAGCTGGCGCGGGTGCTGGTGCTGCATAGTTGGCTGGAGCAGGAGCAGGTGCGACATAAGTAGCTGGCGCAGGTGCTGGTGTTGCATAGTAAGCTGGAGCAGGAGCAGGTGCGGCATAAGTAGCTGGCGCAGGTGCTGGTGCTGCATAGGAAGCTGGAGATGGTGCAGGTGCGGAATAAGACGGAGCAGGGGCAGGTGCAGCATAAATAGATGGAGCAGGAGCTGGTGCAGCATAAGTAGCTGGCGCGGGTGCTGGTGCTGCATAGTTGGCTGGAGCAGGTGCAGGTGCGGCATATGGAGCTGGAGCAGGAGCAGGTGCGGAATAAGACGGAGTAGGGGCAGGTGCAGCATAGGAAGCTGGAGCCGGTGCTGGAGCTGCTGGCTGGTATTGGTAGGAAAGCAGTGATGACTGAGAATCTGAAGGCGACACAGGACTCAGATAACGTGGCAATGCAGGCCCAGGTTGGAGGTTGTAGTTGGCCGAACTAGCAGTTGCAATTAATGCACCAATGAAAATTATGCAAAACATTTTCATTTTGTTTTGCGGTTGAAGCGATTGATTGAGCGAGTGATTTACTGTAAAGTAGCTTTGTTTTTACTGAAGAACTAAGAGAATCTGGCCCTTTTTATATCCATTTCTGTGTTCAAGACCTGCCAAGTAGAGCAGTGGTGCTTATCATTTTATGTGCCTTTGCTGCGTGGGAGCAATCTCATTGCTGTCTATCGAAGGCGGCTAAGCACAAGCAACATCCAATAGCTGCTGCTATTACTATTGTGGAAGGTCTTCATCGGTTGTGCTGGCTGTACGTGCTTGTAGGCTTTTAGTAAATCGTTCGATAACAGCGGCGAAAGCGTTCTTCTGTGACAATGTGTTACAGTTACGTACGATTAGTTACTGGGAATATTCTGTTGAACATAGAAGATTTTTTTTTAATTTTTTTTTTTTTAAACTTTCAATGCGTTTTTACATCAAATAAATACATTTCTTCATTCCTTTTTTCTAGGTGAGGGTTGAGTACTAACATAGACATATATGTACATATGAATGTAAATGAGGAGCTCTTAAAAAATCCCATAATGAGACCTTTTCTTCCATTTCATGGTGCGCTTCTTGAATGGAAATATACTCAACACCTTCAGTTTATACTAAGCAAACTTTATGAGGAGCTTTTATTTCATGCCAGAAATACACTCGAAGGACTTGGCAGTCTCTGCCAAAGGGTCGTCCGCAGTTTAAATGGGAGGGACTCTGCCCTGGCTTTCCAAAAGTTAGTACGAACTGTAAACCACTCTGCTAGTGCAGGCATTTCAGCACTCTCTCTTCGAATACTTCCCACAAAAAAAAAAAAGATACTCGACCATGATACCTCTTTATGGCTCTAACGACACCATGTATTCGAGAACATCAAGCGCCAGGTCATAAACCGAGCTGTTTTGACAGGTTCGGATAGGAGGAAAGTAGGGGTAAATTCATTTGGACTCCCTCCACTAGCAGAGTCATTGGACTTCCAGGTGGCTTAAAAATCCGGCCTTATTCGGGAAACTTGAAAATGTTGCGGTCTATTTAAGGATTAACGGACCTATACCTTCATTTCATTAATGAATCTTTATGCTCCACGAATTCTCAACTGATTTCCACATTTTTCCTTTCCATTCAATTCCTCCATTTCAACCGGTAGCTTCTTCTTATGAGTGATAAATATTTAAGAAGACGACAAAATGTATATTTCTTTTTCAAAGTTATATTTTATTTATTTTTCGATAAATTTAAGAACTAACTAATATACATACACACTATATACAGTTTCAATGGGCTGAGGGGAATCTTAAAGCTATTAGCACACACTCACAAGACAAACATATTCAGAATTAATTAGCACGAATTCTAATTAATTTTTTTTTTTTGCGATGTTATCAATACGCAACTGGCGGTTTTGAGCTCTTAAACTCGATGACCGTGTATGTGGGCTGATAGTAGAAGGGTGCAAGGTATGGTGAGCCAGTTTGGGACGTCCATTGGGATATTAAAGTTGCTAGATCCGCTGCATATTGTCCGGTAATATCTTGTGGCGCACCAATTATGGCAGGAATATCATATTTCAGCGTTGAAATTTGAGGCTGCGAAGGCCACCAACCAAGATCTGATTGAGCTGGGTTAGCTGAACATGCACATGTCGGCACTGGTGCGGGTGGATAAGTCGGTGAAGCTGGTATTGGATATTCAGTTGCATAAGGGTTTATTGCAGCTGGATATGTGCTCACGTCTGTTGCTGGCGCTTGCTATAGGTCAGGGGTTTGGTATGAGGATGAATCTGGTACTGGAGCTGGCACGGAACCTTGTTAGGCGGGTGCGTATGCGTGAGCGCCTGGCCAAAAGCTTCGTAAAAGCCTTGTTTCGTAGCTGATGCCTCCGGACATGGGCCGTTTGGTAATTAGATACGATGTAGAGTACACTTAGGTTCCAATCGTCGGGCACAAACACGCAGATGCATGCACCTTTTCAGCTCTTCACTTCTCTGCCTGTATACCTCTGGGTGTTACAAGAGTTTCCTCCGGCCTTGAAACCTTCCGTAAGTCGCCGTACCTTTTCGTAGAAGTTTCGAGCAACACCCTTGTCGGACAGCTTCTCAAGCCTATCGTATTCACGCACTTGGGCATCTCTCTTTTTTTGTCTGCAAATGGGTCTTGCTTCTCTCTTCAGTTCTCCATATCTGTCCCACCCCGCATGTGACAAAACCAATTGGTTTCGTAGCGGCGGTACGGAGGGAGTTTGAGATGCCGTTCCACGGGTCCCTTATATCAAGGTTTTGATGAGTGCACTCAAAAAGCAGGTGTGCAAGCCGAGTAGAAAATCGGGTATATCTCGTCGTGGAGGCTGAATATTCCTACCGCTGTGCCGAAGATACCTTTTTTGCCCATCCTGACGTTGAAATCGCCAATCACAATTCCCGTAGGGGCAAATCAACGATATGTTGAAGAAATTCGCTTTGATGCAGATTATGGCGATACGTTCATCCCCGGAGTGAATGCCAGTACTCGATGACGGATTCTCTCTCCCACCACGAATCCGACACCAAAATTGCGTTCCTTTATATGGCCGCTGTAGTAAATTTCACAAGGATCCACTTTCTTCCGTCCTTGTTTCGTCCATCGCATTTCTTGGAAGGCGGTGATGTCAGCCTTTAATTTTGTGTGGAGATCGACCAGCTGCATTATTTCCTAACCTCAAAACTCACACTTACATTAATTCTTTGTTTCTACTGCCTGTTATAAACCCTTATTCAATCAACAAAGAGTTGGGCATCCCTATCAATTTTTGAGAGATTGAAATATTCAAAGAAAAGCAACCGCGACCTTGCTCGTTCGATCTCGGGGCCAAGACAGTCCGGTTGATGATTGGAATTAGATCATCGGACTCTTGGATTTTCAATTTACCCTTCAAACACAACCCTCGGTCGAATGGCCGGCAGGTGTATAATGCTGGGCTCACACTTCAGTGGACCATAAATCGGATAGGGATATTGGCCAAAAATTGTATCGTGACATGGGCAGCTTAATCTATCTACAAAACAAGTACGACTAGAGCACCTGTAACTGTTACTGGAGGATACAATGTTTGAGACAATATTTGAAGTGGCTGAAAGGTGTAAACCTGTGCAGTTAATGATTAAATCATGATTCATTCATTTGACTGCCGCGGCTCGCCTTGCAGTAGACCTTCCTGTTCTGTCTGTCGATTTAATTTTTCAAACCATTTTCGATTGGATGATCCCTCTATGGCAGCACAGACGACTTCAATTGTAGTATTTCAAGTCATGAATCGTTTCTGAATGCTTAGCGTAGCACTAAACCTCAGCGGTTCCCCACAAAGAATAGATCAACAGAGTCAATTCGCAGCTGCAAGATGATCAGCCGACATCGCCGTTTCGACTAATTTTGCTATTTTCAAACAAAGTACGCATGAGATGGATTCTATCTTTCGCTATGTGGCAAGTAGCCTCGTTTTGTTGAAACCACACATAGTCCTTGGCAAGCCCTTGCAAACAAATAACCTCTGAACGATCGATTTTGACGGTGACCGAAGTTTTTTCCTCTTTCTCAAAGAAAAACAGACCAGTGCTGCCCCCGGTCCATATGCCGCTTCAAGTGGTCACTAGTTGACGATGCATTGACTTTTCCACTGTTACGTATGGATTTACACTTCTCGGATCGATCTTGAGCCTAATTTTTAGAAATCGCATTTAGTTTTCTAGGATCTTCTGTTCTTAAACCCATTTGACTTCATAAGAGTTCTGCTTAACGTCTATATACAATATCCCGCACTTACGCTAATTGATTTTTCTGTTACTCAAAAACCAATAGGTAGGAGGCCCACCCTTGGGTTTGAGTCTGCGTAAACAAATATCTGCCGCGGCTGAGAACGTTCTTTTTATGTCTCTAAAATTACCCTTTGTATCTGTGTAAATAGATAAATTTGCCATCATCTAAAGCGTATTTCTAACAGTGGTTTCAAAACTGCAAACTACAGAGATCACCCAAGACGCAAACCATATTATAAGAAAATAAAAGATTTTGTTGTGTTACTTTCGTATTTATATTTCTTTATTCGTCATTATCTTAAGAAAACATTTTAAATATTCGTAATTATTGATAGTATTTCACATCAATAGAGTAAGGTGGAAGAGCATAAGCTGCGGCAGCTGGTGCTGGTGCTGGTGCAGGATAAGGTGAAGGGGCCGGAGCAGGCGCTGGAGCTCCATATGAGATCAGAGCTGTCGAAGCTGGTGCTGTATAAAATGAGACAGATCCTGTGTAAGTGGCTGGAGAGGGAGCGGGGGCAGTATAAGTATGTGCTGGAGATGGTGCCGGTGCTGGTGCAGAGTATGATGCAGAAGAACAAGGAGGAGGTACTGGAATGGGTTCTGGAGCTGTGTATGCCTGAGATGCTTCGGCGTATGATGCTGGCGCTGGGGCAGGTTGTACATAAGTTGGGGCTGGTGCCGGCGCTGGTGCTCCATAAGCATCTGGAGCTGGAGCAGGATCTGCTGAATAAAGCCATGGCTCTGGTACATAGGAACCTGGAGCAGGTGCAGCATAAACCGGAGCTGGTACTGGTGCTGGTGCTACATAGGAAGCTGATGCGGGTGCTGCGTAGTAGGCTGGAGTCGGAGCAGGTGCTGCGTAGTTGGCTGGAGCAGGTGCAGGTGCCGCATAGTTGCTTGGGTCAAGAGCAGGTGCGGTATAAGTAGCTGGGACAGGTGTAGGTGCTACATAGTTGGCTTTATCAGAATCAGGTGCGACATAAGTAGCTGGAACAGGTGCAGGTGATGTATATGATGCTGGAGCGGGTTTCGCATAGGAAGCTGGAGCAGGTGCAGGTGCAGATCCGTAACAAGTCGGAGATGGAGCCGGAGCTGGTTGCGCATAAGAAGTTGGGGCAGGTACTGCATAGTTAGCTGGAGAAGAAGCAGGTGAGGCTGCGCCATAAGCGGATGGAGTCGGAGCAGGTGCTGCATAGTTGGCTGGGGCGGGTGCTGGTGCTGCATAGTTGCTTGGAGCAGGAGCAGGTGCGGCATAAGTAGCTGGCGCGGGTGCTGGTGCTGCATAGTTGGCTGGAGCAGGTGCAGGTGCGGCATATGGAGCTGGAGCGGGAGCAGGTGCGGCATAAGTAACTGGCGCAGGTGCTGGTGCTACATAGGAAGCTGGAGCTGGTGCAGGTGCGGAATAAGACGGAGCAGGGGCAGGTGCAGCATAAATAGATGGAGCAGGAGCTGGTGCAGCATAGGAAGCTGGAGCCGGTGCTGGTGCTGCTGGCTGGTATTGGTAGGAAAGCAGTGATGACTGGGAATCTGAAGGCGACACAGGACTCAGATAACGTGGCAATGCAGACCCAGGTTGGAGGTTGTAGTTGGCCGAACTAGCAGATGCAATTAATGCACCAATGAAAATTATGCACAACATTTTCATTTTGTTTTGCGGTTGAAGCGATTGATTGAGCGAGTGATTTACTGTAAAGTAGCTTTGTTTTTACTGAAGAACTAAGAGAATCTGGCCCTTTTTATATCCATTTCTGTGTTCAAGACCTGCCAAGTAGAGCAGTGGTGCTTATCATTTTATGTGCCTTTGCTGCGTGGGAGCAATCTCATTGCTGTCTATCGAAGGCGGCTTAGCACAAGTAACATCCAATAGCTGCTGCTATTACTATTTCGGAAGGTCTTCTTCAGTTCTGCTCGCTGTACGTGCTTGTAGGCTTTAAGTAAATCGTTCGATAACAACGACGAAAGCGTTCTTCTGTGACAATGTGTTACAGTTACGTACGATTAGTAACTGGGAATATTCTGTTGAACATAGATTTTTTTTTTTAATTTTTTTTTTTTCAAAACTTTCAATGCGTTTTTATATCAAATAAATACATTTCTTCATTTCTTTTTTCTAGGTGAGGGTTGAGTACTAACATAGACATATATGTACATACGAATGTAAATGAGTAGCTCTTAAAAAATCCCATAATGAGACCTTTTCCTCCATTTCATGGTGCGCTTCTTGAATGGAAATATAATACTCAACACCTTCAGTTTATACTAAGCAAACTTTATGAGGAGCTTTTATTTCATGCCAGAAATACACTCGAAGGGCTTGGCATTCTCTGCCAAAGGGTCGTCTGCAATTCAAATGGGAGGGACTCTGCCCTGGCTTTCCGAAAGTTAGTACTAACTGTAAACCACTCTGCTATTGTAGGTATTTCAGCACTCTCTCTTTGAATACTTTCCGACAAAACAAATATACTTAATAGTGATACATCTTTATGGCTCTAACGAGACTACGTATTCGAAGACATCAAACGGCAGATCAGGAAAGCGAGCTGTTTCTACGGGTTCGGACCAGAGTAAAATAGGGGTTAGATGAGTGGGATTTTAAGGGGCATATAAAGAGTTGGTTGGTATTGAGTCGGGTGTAATTGCATGCAGGGAAACCGTTGGGTATGTCGGGGTCCACATACGGGCGGTGTTCTAGCAAGCTTGTAGCTTCTTCATCTGCGTCTCGCTTGTCCCGGCCTCCATATCGGAGAATCGTAATTTACGACCGGCCGTCCAATTACCTCAGCTGTTGCCGTATAACGATTTCAGGTTTTTTTTTGGGCTCGAAATGAAAGAGGGCAGGCTGTCGAATGTGATTCCCAGTATCTTTGGGTTGCTAGCTGTCGGAGTTTCTACACCAACGACTTTCTCATACAGTACTGGTCGGCACTACTGTGTCTAACTGGTGAAAAGGAGAGCTGAGAATTTCGTAGGCTGGGCAGCAGTTGTTTTACAGACCTTTTCTCAGGGAAAGATCAATGAAATAGCTGGCTGTCCACGTGTATGACACTAGACTTAGTGGAGAAAAGAATTAGCATGAAAGAGAGTTAAATTACTCGCTGTAAAGAAACGAAAAAAATTGGTTACGTAGCCTTGAAAAATATTCAACAACAACAATATCAACGTATGAATGATGGATTTATATCGTTTTCTTGCGTATAATATATTTTAGTTATTTTTTTATAAGAAGATTTCCATATAGAGCTTCCAACCAGGATAAGTTCTCGTTCAAATAAGCTTTTATTTCGTATCATTGTCATAAAAGGCAAAGCTAAGCAGAGATTCCTTTTCTTGTTTGTCTTTCACATAAAAAGAAGGTCTGCCCGTAAGCTTGCTTCTCTCTTAACAATGATCTCAAATGATTTCCACATTCTTCCTTTCCATTCAATTCCTCCATTTCAACCGGTAGCTTCTTCTTATGAGTGATAAATATTTAAGAAGACGGAAAAATATATATTTTTTTTCAAAATTTTATTTTATTTATTTTTCGATAAATTTAAGAACTAACTAATATACATACACACTATATACAGTTTCAATGGGCTGAGGGGAATCTTAAAGCTATTAGCACTCACTCACAAGACAAACATATTCAGAATTAATTAGCACGAATTCTAATCAATTTTTTTGCGATGTTATCAATATGCAACTGGCGGTTTTGAGCTCTTAAACTCGATGACCGTGTATGTGGGCTGATAGTAGAAGGGCGCAAGGCATGGTGAGCCAGTTTGGGACGTCCATTGGGATATTAAAGTTGCTAGATCCGGTGCATATTGTCCGGTAATATCTTGTGGCGCACCAATTATGGCAGGAATATCATATTTCAGCGTTGAAATTTGAGGCTGCGAAGGCCACCAACCTAGAGCAGATTGAGCTGGGTTAGCTGAACATCCACATGTCGGCACTGGTGCAGGTGGATAAGTCGGTGAAGCTGGTATTGGATATTCAGTTGCATAAGGGTTTATTGCAGCTGGTACTGGAGCAGAAGGTGAATATGTGCTCATGTCTGTTGCTGGCGCCTGATATAGGTCAGGGGTTTGGTATGAGGGTGAATCTGATACTGGAGCTGGCACGGAACCTTCATCGGCGGGTGCGTATGCGTGAGCGGCTGGTCTGGAATACTGTTCCGGATTTGAGCAAGGAGTTGGAGTTGGTTCAGAATAAGTGATTGGTGACGGGTGTGCTGGGTAGGATTGTGGTTGCGTCTGCTGACTGGGCGCCGAATACGCAACTACAGCTGTTTCAGGAGCCGTTGCTGTACATAGAATTGGTGAGGAGTACGAGCTCGTTAAGCCATAAGCGTCCGGAATTGGCGCGGGTGCAGCGTAAGACACGGTGTTATCTGCATTTGGGGCTGGTGCAGCGTAAGGTGATGGCGCTGGTGATGAGTTCCCGGTAGCTTGGTATGAATCTTGGTAAGAGGTAGCAGGTGATGCAGAATAGGATGATGGAGCGGTTTGGTATGCATCTGGTGCTGGTACAGGCGCGACGTAAGGAGCTGATGGTGTTGGAGCAGCATATAGATCAACCCCCGGCGCTACTGAATACTCTGGATTTGTAGCGTATGCAGTGGGAACTGAAGGCGTACTTTTACAATCGGATGCTGATGTTGGTGCAGGATATTCAGAAGATGGATAAGAAAAAGGGGCTGGATCTGCTCCAGTAGCTAGATAAGCATTTTCACCCGGCGCAGGAGCAGCGTAAGAGTTTTCAGTTTCCTGAGCGGAATAACCTCCTGAGCTTTGTAGTGGTGCGACATATTGTATGGGTGCCGAAGATGCTGACACTGGAGATGGTGCAGGAGAATAAGATGGTTGTAGGACTGGTGCAGACGATGATGGTGCTGGTGCTGGTACTGAGTAGTCGGCAACGCAGGACGAAGCTGAAGACACCGGAGCATGCGCTGGGACTGGTGCAGCATAATAGTCTGTGGCTGGAGCTGGAACTGGGGCAGGATCATATGAGGAGGCTAACGGTGAGGCTTGGTTATAAGTAGGCTGCTCATAGTTCGGAGCCGGTGCTGGATAATAGTTTGTAGCAGGAGCAGGCGCAGGAATAGAATCATATGATATTGGTGCTGGATTGTAAGTCGGCTGCTGTGCGGCAGCTTGAGCTGATGCTGATTCATAACCTGTATTAGACGCATCAGAAGTATCAGAGTACGGAGCTGGAGTAAGCGAATACGATGCTGATGATAATACTGAGTAATCAGCTGTACATGATGGGGCTGACGGGACCGCAGTAGTTACTGGGGCTGGTGCAGCGTAATAGTTTGTGGCAGGAGCAGGAACTGCGGCAGGTTCATATGAGGAAGCTGACGCTGAGTCTTGGTTATAAGCATAGTTCGAAGCTGGTGCAGGAGCGTAAGGAGCATTTGGAATAGAGTACTGAGCAGAAGCAGGTGGAGTAGGTGCAGCAGGTGCTGAATAATAGTTTGTAGCAGGAGAAGGCGCTGGAACAGAATCGTATGATGATGCTGTTGCTGGTGCTGGATATGCTGCTTTAGATGCATCAGAGTACGAAGCTGTGGCAGGGGAATAAGATTCTGAAACTGGAGCAGGCGCCGGAGACGGTGCGGAGGTCGGTGAAGCATAATAGTTATCCGCAGGAGCAGGAGCATTGTCATATGAAGGAACTGGCGCCGGCACCGATACGGAGTTATAAGAAGACTGCTCTTTAGCAGGTTGTGTTTGAGCTGATTCATAGTTCGGAGCTGGTGCAGGCGAGTACGGAGCAGATAGATACGAAGATCCAGCAGGGGCTGGTGCAGTATAATACTCAGCGGGTGAAGGAGCATAAAGAGCTGATTCAGGCGAGCTCGGCACTGGGGCTGGTACATAAGGAACATGTGATGGTGGGCTCGCAACGGAAGCTGATGAATACTGAGCAGGTACTAGTGCTGCTGATGCGTATTCTGTAGCTACTGGTGCGTATGCTGCCGGTAGAGAAGCTGAAGAGTACGGAGTCGGAGCTGGTGCGTAAGGAGCAGGTGCTGGTGCGTTCGGTGCAGGTGGAGATGTATAAGGTGCCAATGATGGTACTGCATTTAAGCCAAAAACTTCGTAAAAGCCTTGTTTCGTAGCCGATGCCTCTGGACATGGACCGTTTGCAACGATTAGCCATTCTGAAAGATACGTGGGAGAGGAAAGTATTTTTTTTTAATATATGCGGTATGCGGTAAACAATAGCTGCTTACGTTGTCTTGTTTCACAAATCAGCTGATTCACCAAACATGCATTGGGCACCGTCTTAACTGGACCCGCCGGCACTTGCTGCGCGCACACCGGTTGAAAAACGGCTGGACAAATAATACCTTCGCAATTGGAGAAACATTCCTCGAGCGCCACCTTCACAGGACCTGCAAAGAAAAATATTTTAAACTCGGGTTACACAAACTCTTACACGAGATATACTCACGGGGCCTGCCAGCAAAGAGTTCTTTATAGCTAAACACATTCAGTTTGCATTCGTTCTCGAAGTAAATAAATTCATAACCACTTTTAGCGCAAACCGGCTCACCACCCGCCGGGCAGAGTGCCTCAAGCGCACCATGTGAAACGGTAATTAGAATGCTAAACAAGAATAGACGCCACATTTTTTGAAGACAACTGCACAACTAACCTACTGACCGTTCGGCGGAGGAGTTTTAATAACAAACTGAAGGTCGCATGCCTTATATACTGCACACAATTAATTGGGTTAGAACGTAGACGTCTTTCTGTGCATGTTTTCTGCAATTCAGCTATCTCTGCATGTGCTTCTATGTGCTTCTTCTGCAATTAACCAATCTCAGCGGAACATTTGACCGGCGCACCGAGGTTTGTGCCCAAATATCTGTGTCATTAACCAAAGTCTCATTTCTAATCGGGCCAACTCATGTTTTGGCGGCAGTCTTCAGCCGTATATACGTGCTTTGTTGGCACTCTGCTGGTCACTGACTGTGCCGTTAAGCTGCATATGCGAAGTACAATGGGTTGTACTCGTAGGTGCTTGCACAGCTGGCGCTTCCAATGGTGAAATATGAGTTATCAACTTCTTTATTCTTATTTTTTTTATTTCTCTTTTATAAAAAAATGTTGTGAATCAGTTCGAAAATAGTCTTAAGAAAAAATTGTCTTAGTAAAATCATACAATTTTTAATGAAATACACTCATTCATACATATGTAGAAATATATTCATTTATATTTCATTCATATTTTCAACGCTTCAGCTCGCTTCGTTATCGCTCAGCGTGTTTGTGATAATTATTTGCTGTCTTTGCTGTTTCCATTGCCATCAATTCGTTGTTAATTGTTTAATCGGTTGGAAATAAATGTAGGTGAATGACTGGCCAGCGTGTAGTTATGTAAGAACACCTCTGATAATATGGTTAAAGATTCGCTAGGGATGCTAGTATTTTAACTCCAGAAAATGTTGGGCACAAATTCAAATATTTGAACAAAATATTTTCAAACATTTTTTAATGCTAAAATTATCGTTATCTTAAATTTTTGCGAAGAAAATAATTTGAAAAAAATATCCAAAAAATTGTATTTATTTTTTTTTTAAATTATTGCAGAGATTCCACCTATACTAAATTGTAAACAAAAATTCTGATCACCGTCTCTACGCGGCAGCTATTCCCAAGCCCTTCGATTGCTTTACCGACATTAAATAAAAAAGTTAGATTAAATTAAACTGACTGACTGTTACTCCTTAGCAGTTGGTGTCCCTTGTGGTCCCAGGAGGAGGTCATCATGTAAGAAATATGCAATCTTTAAAGGAGCCTTATTATCCACCAATGACATTCTCTCTTTGTCCTTTGCATAGCCCAGCTTCTAGATGTCTAAAATGAATTCTAGATTAGGCGGGTCAAAAACCGAAAAGGTTTTCCAACCACTCAGCCATGGCTACTTCCCTACTTGAGTCACTGCTTCTAAAGCCCGGTCTGTTCGCGTGTAATATCTGGGTAAACAAAAAGAGTTTAAGCTTATCTTATCGATAGCACCAGACATAGCACCAGACATCTCCGCGCTTACATGCCGTCAAGGCAGTTCATATTTCCTCGATCCGTTTTGAAAGACTCTCAGAAACTTCGTTGTCCAGCGCTTTTAGCGTCTTATGCATTTCATGCACTAGTTTCGTCATCAGACGCATGGTAATCTCAACGACTATTCCGCTCCTGACATTGCTTTCAAGGGCGGGATCTCAATTTATATTCAGCTGCTTCCCTACAGCCTTATCCACAGCTTGTCTGACCCGAAGACCACTGGCTGGAAAGTAGTGCAATACTCCGGAAGCCTTGTAAGAGTTACCTGAGATCTAGCTCTGTGTAATTGTTTCCGGCTCAAACTCCATCATCCATTTTTGAACCGTTCGTGTAAGTTTTGTAAGTTCTGAAGTTGCGACGCAGGTTCGAGTGCTCTCCTTTAATTTGGCTTGAATATTGAGCTGTGTCCGAAAGTTCTAGCAGAAAATTCACCTAACTTCACGACACGCATAGCGTATCTCGCTGCAGTAGTTCCTTATGCGATTTTTTCCTAAATGGGGGAATTTATTTCTCACTGAAGAGGGAGAACAAATCAAATGAGACTTGAGAAGCTTGCCATTATGGGCTCTTCCTTTATATGTTGAAACCAATTAATAAGTAAAATCTCAGCGTAAACTTGCTTACCTAGAAGTTAAGCTAGAATTGATATGAATAGAAAGATAGTATTTATGACGATATTTCGAGATCAAAAACGTACCAAAATCATAGGAAGAGAACATGCGAAATGTCGTATAAGACATCTCATACCCTCCGGTCTTAATCATCATGACATCCTAAGGACTGTGTCATCCAAAAAAGTAACAAGAGATTACTTACTGCTATGTACTACCACAAACACATCACCGAAAAAGGGTTTCCCAGAAAAAATACATTCAGGAACTCGAATCTCTCGAAAACGGAGTAGTTGATATTCCGCTGGCGCTTAGAAAAAGTCCAAATTAAGATTTATACTTGCAATTCGCCTCTCTGAGAGGAGAAAACGCTATATTCTTAAATCTGTTTAATTAACTCGACGAAAAACCCGAGCAGATGATGTGGATATGACTGATAGCACGGTTTCTTTGGATGTTCAACTACCATTTTTTTTTTATTAATTTTCTAATAGCCTAAATTATTTCTATTTTATTGGGATATCAAAAAATCATACTCGCAATTTCACCTTCACTTAAACCCCGACCAACCTCAATCACCTGCAATCTACTCTTCCTCATAACTGTCACTCAGCATTAAAGCATATCAGAAACACACATCACCCGGACATCATATGACATGCCATCGCTACATGCCGTCACCTTGACTTAAGCACTCAAGTCACAGTGAGAGCTCACAGTGTAATTATAATTTTGCACACTCTCGCTAAGCTAGCTGAGTTACCTCAATCCGCGTTTGGGCTCAATATTAAAAAAAAAAATAAAGAAAAAAAAAAGAAATTAAAATAAATTTGAATGTTGCAAATTGACAGGTGACAGGTGTAGGAGCTTGCGAGAGTTTGTTAGAGTGCGATTGAGCGCTGATGAGTTGCTTACAAGCCGGCTTGCTTTTTTAACAGTTACTTACTTGCGCTCAGAGTATTTTTTTTCTTTGCTAAACACCCCACCTAACGATCATATTGCCATGAGAGCAAGCTAAACTCAGGTGTAGCTTAGCGAGATCTACGCAATTGAGAGCGTAGCTAAATACACAGAGAGATGGTGTACAACTATGAGAGCATGTTGCTGTGAGCGCGTACAAAACGTAAACAAACCACTTGTTGTACACCAAGCGTCACGAACTTGTTTGTTGTTCTTGTGAATTGCATTTCTTTCGCGGCCACACGATCTAAGCCAAGTCTGCTCTGTTGGTTATGTATGGTTTTCAGTTGCGTTTTAGCGGCGTTTCGAGTTGTACATGGTTTTCGCTTCAAACGTTGTGTCGTGTATTCTCTTCTAAGTTGCTGTTGCTGTTTCTTGTATATTTCTTGACATAAGTTGAGTTGGGAAAATTCCTGATTTTCCTTAAGTGTGGAAAATTCTATGGAATAAACTGCATCTGGGCTAACAAACTAGGAGGCTTATGAGCATAAATATGTATGTATGTATGTGGTAGTGTTACGTTCACATAATAATGAAGTGGCTGGATAATGTGGTTAATAAAATCGTACGATAAATGCATATTTAAGTGTTAGATTTCGAATTGTGCTGAAAATATGAGAATCCCAACTGTGCAGAGTAACGGTGTTGATGATAAAAATTCGGTAAATTTGTGAAAGCATTTTCAAGACATGAGCGCATGAAAATTCGTTTATTAACCAGAGATGATTGGAAAAATAAGCGGTAAATGAAAAGTGATTTCAAAACTTCGTTATACTCAATATTAGATTTACACTGTAGTGCTACTCAATTTGAAAAAAATACTGAGAATATAATGAGAATTATTTAAAAAATAATAAAAATAATATATTCATATTCACTAAATTTTCAAGAAATTAATTAAAAGAAAAAATAAGAAAAAGACAATACGGCGTATTTGCATTAAGCACAGCTGGAAGAAAATCAACTATAAACCGAGAAGCATTCAATCAAAAATTTTATGGATGTAAAGGTAATTTTAAGCAAAAAGAAATATTTTTGAAGAACAATCCTAGATCTAAAACATTTTTCTTTTGAATTTTAAAACTGAAAGTAAATTTAAAAATTTTGAATTTCATAAGTTAGAGTTAGGGAAATGGTCGTTAGATGAGTAAGCTTTTAGGGGAGCGCAAAGAGGTGATTAGTTTCGTATATACATATGTTGAATATATCGGGTTGAAGTCTGGATGGGTAAGAATTTAAACAACTACAATTTACCGATTTTAAAAGTGCCAGTCCCGTGTACTGAGTCTCAAGGCAGTTCGAGCTTTTCGTCTGCCCGTCTACTTGTACGCAAACCAGCCGCTCAGTTTTTGAGTTATTTAAGCCAAACTTGGTTAAGATACTTTTATACTTCAATAATAACTTATCTTGATTATCTTGGCGGTCGCAGTAACCGAGTGCTTAGCATTGCGTACTGGCATACGGAAGGCTCGGGTTCAAATCCCCGTGCGATCAACATCCAAATGTTATAAAAAATTAGTTTAAATAAAAAATTAAGCTAAATTTTCTAGTTGCGGTCGCCCCTCGGCAGGGAATGTCAATCCCTCAAGACGCAAAAACATAAATTTGAGTAGGAGCTTGGCCAAAAAACAACTAAAGCGGATACAAAGCGCCGAATATTATATTATATATATATCACTTATCACATTGACACCGAAAATGATCGAAATCGGTGGACTGACTATAACATATAGACTTCATATAACCATTTCGATAAAATATAGAAATTATTATTTAATCCTAAATAGAAATACCATAAATTTGATTTGATCATGAAAGGTATAAAAGCCTTGGCATGGTTGAAATCAGCTCTTTTTACTTATTATGGTTGATATCTGAGAGCTTTGAGTTAGTCTTTAGTTCTTTTAGCGTTGCGCTTTTAATGTAAAACGAGTGTTTTATAATGTGTTCTTTATTTTCTGAAAAAATAAAAAAGAAACATGGATGCTGGAGTATCGTATTGCTTATGGAAAAAAATTCTTGAATTCAAA